TTCTCTTCTCTTCTCTTCTCTTCTCTTCTCTTCTCTTCTCTTCTCTTTCCTCCTCCTCCTTTTCCTCCTCCTTCTCCTCCTACTCTAGAACAAATTAAAAAAAACTTTGTGAGACATTTTTGTTTTGGGTACATAGTCTCCCTAAGATAAAATGTTTAGTTGTTAAAGAATACTACTGAAATTCTGATATTTTACAAGATATCTCTTTCCACATAAGTGAAAACTTGAAACTGGAAGTTGTAACCATTTGCCTTCCTATCCTACCATTAAGAAACTAGTACTTTTTTTATAAGAAGAAAGAAAAAATAATGAAAAGCTTTCTGGCTTCTCCCATTCTGAGATAAATAATGAAGAACTTTTCAAAGAGTCATTAATAAAATAATACTTTTTTCTAGTGTGAAAGAGCATACAATTATATGCTAATTATATAATATAAAAGTAGCAAGGGGAAAAGGTGCTGTAAAGCTTGTAAGCTTTGAGAGAATTATTTTTTTAATTATAATGTTGGAAAGAATCATAAGAAAAACCAGGCCTAGAATCACATCTTTTAATGTTAAGATACATATATACATACATATATATATATATAAATATATATATATATATATATATATTTTTCCCCCTAGTGGAACATCTGATTGACGAAGTCAAGACATAGTCTCCCTGTATAATTCAGTGTTTTTTGACATTTGAGAAGGACACCAAATTCCATGTTGGCTGTGCTCATTTAGGTTAATTCAATCTCTTTTAAATCTGAAGAAAGATTACATGTGGCTCTCTCCTATTCAAGAACCAATGTTTTCATTTTGTATAGTTTTAGATTTCCTTCAACCATTGCATCTCCCAGGTGCACTGACTCTATTATCCTTAACAAGAAGTTTCTTAGTTGGTCTCTTTTATAAAATGGAGTTCTTCTGCTTTTTCTTCATTGAACTTTCAGATCTCTAGGGCAGGGAACTCTCTAATCCCCCAAAGTTCCTGTTTAAAAATAAAGATTTTCACAGAGAGGAAAAAAAAACAGGTTACTTTCATTTTTCCTTTACTCCCAATGAATGAATGAGAATCAATATCTAAGATGAATTAAAGAATCTCTTCTATACAGAAAAATGAGCCAAAATGTTGCTATCTTTACAGTGTAGGAACTGTGAGCATTGCATAGTCAGATACAATCTTGCATTCTCTACAGATAAACAGTATTTATGAAAAATGAAAATTTACCCCATTTCCCATCAGTCCTTTCTGCGACATTGTTTTCCCTTTATAAAACCAGGCCATTAAAGTCACAGAATTCACATATTTATTGAACTCCTCCTCTTGTAAACTCGTTGCTCTCATTAAGGCTTAGCTCAATAGCTTCTTCCTAAATGATGCTCCTTTAGATTCTCTCCCCTGAACCTCCCCCTCCAATTGTTAGTGATGGGATCTACCCTTCATGGAATTTATTTGTATTTACTTTGGATATACTTCATATTCACTTGAATGGGTACATGTTATATCCCTCAAATAGAATGGAAGCTCCTTAAGGGAGGGGGCAGTTTTGTTATTATCCTTCTATTCCTAGTGATGAACGCAGTGCCTTGCACATAGTAGATATGCAGTAAATGCTTGCAGTGTTGATT